CGCTCTTCCGATCTCCCCAAAACCCCAAAACCCCATGGGTAAATATATAAAGGCTTAAGAAATCAAATATAATCAAAAAATTATACAGTTCTTACTCTTAGACTTAGATTTATTGACTATATATTATTCTTAGCTTAAATGTTAGACTTCGTGGTTCTATATAACATTTAATAACTTATTTTACTTGAAGTGATTTTTTCTTTTTTTACTAATAAATTAACGGGCTTAGTGTCTTCACATGTTCATCTCGTATCTCCTTCAATCCTCTTTTAACTTTCTTTTACTGTTTTTGAACTTAATCAAGTTAAGCTGATGATTACCTATTTAAAATGATCACATCCATCTATTTGTACTTACTCAACCTTCTTATATATTTTTATAATATTCTGTGAAATTTCATTATTCAGGAACTTAAACTCATGAGCCAAGTCTTCATTTGTTTCCTGTGACTCCTCAGCATAGTGAACTTTTAAAGTTTGCTTTTATTGCTCTGATTGCTATTTCTGCATATTATCTATCTTCTCAGTTATCTCAACCATCATTTTGTTTTGTACTTAGAGCTAAGTTTTAATCTATTCCAGTTCCATATCCTAGCTTCTTTTGTCCTTTATATTTTATTGAAATTCTCTAACATGCATCTCTTAGATCTATAATAGTATTAAATCAATATAATATATACTGTTTTCCTAAGTTCATTAATTGTGGCTAGCAGCTAATTTTGATTCATGTTAGCAATGAAAAGTTTATTTTAGAGGTCATTCTAGACTACAGAAACTGCGCTTTCATTCTTTTGCATCTTTATCTCGCCCATTAGCATATTTTCTAGCAAATCCTTAGTCTCTCCATTTTGATTTTAGTCAGCATATTCTTTAGCTGAAAGTCCTTGAAAATCAGGTTGATTCATCATTTTTTCCAATTCTTTTGGGGAGTAAATAGACTAATAAAAGGAGAGTATTTTTTAAGCATTCATGCAAATTGCCTTGTGTAATGATGGTTTTTCTTTATTTAATGGATCATGGATATTGATATCTTTTTGGAAAGCCAATCTGAAATATGTCATTAAATCATTATTTATTGCCATTACCAACAACTTATCCCATAAATCCTTTTCCAATTTAGCGCCTCTCTCTAATAAAAGTAGGGTAGCATTTTCTTCTGTATAAATATGGCCTTACTCAATAGAAATTTAAATTGCGGTCTGATTTTGCTTAGTTCTTTCATTTAGAAATAATAAAGGATCTTTAAGTAATTGTTTCAAGATAAGGATACTTCCTTAGTATGCTGCACAATGTATTGGTCTCCAATGCATCTCATTTTTTATGTTAATATCTATTCCTGACTATTAGTATTAAACGACAACATTGAATCTGTTATTAAATATTGATGCTTGATACCCCCTCGATTGAAATTCTTTATACAACTACAAATAGATGTCCTCATTGTAAGGGAATCTCTTTACCTGCTTTTAAGTAAACAAAATTTTATCGTCTTATTGATCATTAGATTCAAGAGATTTCTTGTATCTAGATGTAAATTATTGCTTTAAATCATTCTCATAGTCCTTTACTAATATTTAGAGTCTTTAAAATTTTGTTTTTGACTCTATTATAGAGTTGCTTATTCCTCTTACTATTTCTTTATTGCTCTTTTAATTGATAAATTCTTAATATACTTAGACTTTATCTAGGAATGAGCTTATTTCCTCATCATTTATAATGTCATTGATTACACTGAAGTACATATTATCTTCATCGAGCTAAAGTTTATGAAGCCATGTAGGACTACCCCAAACAACAAGTTTAATTCTCTCATCCAGAGTGTCATCAATTTTCAATTCTTCGAAGTTTGCTTATGAAAATATTTGATTAACTGTTCTTTATTTGTCTAAACTATCTGATCTTTTAAATATATCTTAGCTAAAGACTTGATTCAATTAAAAACCAAAAGTTCTTTCCATCATTGTATTTTTTCTAAGTATTTTTTCTTTTAATTCAGGTAAATCATCTATTTTTGCCTATGAAAAAGTCGGCATCTATGATAAATTATATTCTGGCTCTGGAAAAGTTATCCATTATTCTAATTTTACCTAACTAATGTAAGGTCTATTTACTATAATCTTCCTTGATACTCTTTCGATGATAATATTCCTAATAGTCGTCCATAATTTATCAAATTTAGCTTCATCATTTCCAAGAGCCATTAAGAATACATCATCTATCTCGAAAACCTTTCCCTACTCTTTACTGTGGATATAATACTCTCTTAGGCAGAATAATTTTACATAATCATCAATAGATTTATACTGTTCATTGCTCTATTCAAATATTCGGTTCGCTACAATCACATCAATCATTAATAAGTTCCTAGCGAATTTGCTATTTTTATCTTTTTAATCTATCAAAAATGCTCTACTTACTTCATCTGCAAATGATTACTTATAATAAATTGCGATCCTATGCATTAGGTTATTTTCAACCCACAAGTTTTTCAAGATTCCAATAAATTCATCAACTTTGACATTTTCTCTTAATAAATCAGTCAAAACTTCTTAAAATGCCTATGTATTCTCTCCAATTTCAATTATGTATTCCTCTAATTGCTTGCACTAAGTAACCTCAAATATTTCAGTTGCCTCTTCTTAAGATATGAATAGCTATCTTCTCTCTTTAAAGGCATCATCTGCTGTAAGATCTACTCCATAGCAATTTTTAAATAATTTGTATGAGGTCTGTTTCAGAAATTTTTCATCTATTTCTAAAATATCTATAGTTTGCTTAACTTTTAAATCAAGTTAGTTTAATAAAGCATCTCTTATTATAAGCAAATTTTCTAGAGGCTTCGAAAAAGAAAAGCCAATGACTCATTCTAATGAAGTTTTCTCAAATCCAGCTTAAATGAGGAGAGAAATAAATATATTCTGCTGTAATAAATGACAGTTTAATTGTTCAATGCTTATAATTCTCAGGTCTTCAAAGTAAGGATAATTGAGTATATTCTCAATGATTGCAAATATTATTTAATATGCTGCCAACTATTAATCCTCAGTTTAAAGTTGATCAATCTCTTCAAAAAGCTTGATAGTGGATTTTACAAGTTGCTTATCTCGCTTCTTTTTAATTTTATCGATTTCAGTTTTAAAGTCGAGATTTCTTATCATACTTATTCATTCTTGCTTCATCAACTTCTTTTTTATTACCCTGCCAATTTAAGTCTCTGGTAGGATATTGAAGTTATGAGGATTTAACTACGGTTTCTAGAGATTAGTTCTTGAGTTTTTACTATGTTTAAAACTATCATCACTTTTTAAAGATAAATTTGTGTTTAGCGAGGGGATAGCTAAATTGGTTCTCTTAAGCATTAAAAAAATTGATAAAATTTTATTTATTATTCTTATTCATATTAGCAGATATTTTATCCTGAAAATATCATTACGGGGTTTTGGGGTTTTGGGGTTTTGGGG